CCCAGTAGAGTACATTGCGTTATAAGGATAACGCAGAGTAGGAGTGAGAAGGTGCTGGGTAATAGCTGGCAAAAAATGACCTAATATTCTACCTCTTCAGGGTTGCACAAGAATGAGTGAGGTCGGACAGTGGAAGGAACCATGAATCAAAACCTTACCTCTCTGCTGTTGAAGACCAAAAGCATGGCTGCTAGCTGAACGTACCTGAGTCCCCATAATGAGCTAGATAGAGCCAGTGCAATAAGATTAGAGCTCCTTTTTGTTAGGGGATAGTCACTGTTAGCAAATTGAGGGCATATCCCATACTTCATTTCCAGGTTACGAGAAACTTCTCATAGACACCACTGAGGAGACAACTGGCATTCATACCACAGCACAGAGTCCCAGGACTTACTTAGAAAGCAACACTTCACTACACATAATGACCTTATCATCAGGAATCGTTTAACCAGACTAAAAAAACATCATTTCTGAATGTCTAATATCTAGGTCATGGTTTTTTTGACTACATTTGTTTAGGCAATACATATTAGTGCACTTGGAAAAAAAAAAGCTGGGCCAAACCCAGCATTAGATTTTGTAACCGGACTGTGAACATACTCGTACAGGCCGTCATGGATCACTTCTTCAGCAGTGTTAATACTTTGTTTTAAACGTGGTATGGCAAGGGTTTTCCACAGTGTTCAAACTAAGGTATTCTTACAGATCTCCTTTCCCAAAATGCAGCACAGAACAAAACATTTCTGGGAAAGTGAAGAACTTGGGAAAAAAACCGAAATCCGCTGGTTGGAAATGCTGTCCCACTTAACAATACGCGTTGTGCAAAGTTTGCAGCAGAGATAACCGCCCCACTACTTGAGATACCACTGTTATCGCATCTTAGAGTTAACTCTGCTGACCTTTTTTTTTCAACAGATCAAAGACTTTAAACTGGTGGATTACTGGTCTCAGCCAATTTTAATGGGATCTTTGACAATACAGCAAGAAAGAAAAAAATGCTAAGTGAAGAGATAATCATTTGCCTCTCCCTCCTCTGCTTTTAGTTTTTTTTTTTTTTTTTCAGACTGTAATCTGAGTGTTTTGAACCATGTAAGCCTTTCTTAGGGAGATAAACTCTCGTCTTAGATCGGGGTATTTTTGTGACTGATTGCTGTAATTGCCCTAAGTCTACGTGCATTCTTGTACCAGTTTTCACAATAGTTCAGACAAACTGTACCTTAAAAGTCAAAAGAAAACAACAGCTACATAATAACCTGCACATGAATTAGCTGAAACTACACTAAATTATTCCAACCTCTAGACAAGCTAGTTCCTTTTTAAGCTTATCTCTTCATCTCAAATTTGTGAATAGTGACATTTACCTCTTTAAAGAAAGACAAGCTACCTGTGTTCTCCACATTGGAAGTTCTAGCCCTCTACAAAATTTTCACCTGACAAACCTAAATAGAAATATACTATGACCTATACTTAAAAATACGCAAACAATAAACAAAACCTACCAGCAAATTCCTCTATTTTCAGTCTGGCACCTTGCTATAATGTTTGCCATTGAAAACTGTTCATTTACCTGGCACTAGTGCAATGGCCTGAGCCCTAGCTGGTAAATATAAATCCAGTGGCAGATTCCTAGGTGAAAATAGGTGAATAAACTGACAAATGTCAATGTTTATTCTAACTGCACTTTAAACAACGCGCACTACCATCTAGTGGTAGAAAAAAAATCACAAAGCATCTCAAAACCTTTTGTTACATGTACCTGCCTAGAAAAATCCTAACTTAAAGTAAAAATTAGCTATCCTGAACCAGCATAAAAAAAAAGAAATTTTAAGTGCACAGAACTTGATTATAACTAAATGCAAAAAGACAGAACATGCTGCCCTGTGGACAGACTTTATATCTTAATACTAATATTATAATTAATTAATACTAATATCCTAATACTTACTTAAACCACTGTCTTGTCATGTAGCATTCCTCGGAATAGATTTTCAGTGCACCTCTGTAACTGCTACACATAGGGAAATGCAGCTAGCAATTTAGGCACGTGGCAGTGACATCAATGATGATGCTTCAGGAGTGCTTTTTTTCCTCCATATAAACTTATTTGTAAGATATTATTTAATAAATTTAGTAACACTATATTAATTTCAGCTACTAAAATATTTAATTACTCCTATATCCTGCAAATACAAAATCACTTACCTTCAGATACTTGGTTATATTGATATCAAAACATTTGTGCTACCAGTCATTTGCTTACATTTGTAATCGGAAATCTGCTTATCCTTTCCCCACCATGGAGCACAGCACATCAGGTTATTCTGGATGTTTTCCCTATTTTGCTGGTTAGGTCACCAATGCCTCGTGAGGATCTTCTTTGTTAGCAAGGACTGCAGAACCTCCTTGCCAATTCCTTCCCCAACTAGCAGGACCTTCCCACTCGCTGGTGGCGCCTTCGCCAGCCGTCCAAAGAGCTGTAACTCCTGCATTTCCTACGGCCATCCTGGAGGTCGTGTTTTCTTTAGAAATCCTCTTCAGTAACGCCTTTACCTCTTTGAAGGGTTCGTTATCTGCCAAGAAGCCCCTCTCAGTTGATGACTTACACATAGGTACGTTTACCATAAAAAATAAAGCCTCCCACAGATAGAGACCTGACAGTCTTTAAAGTAAGCCAGTCATCTCAAAATGACCCTATAAAGTACACATCATCTTGCTTTACCCAATAAGAAAACAGGTACAAAGCAAATCCTTGACCTTATTTAACAACTAGTTCCGATGTTAAGGTGTATTTTATTTCTAGCTTAAACTTGTGTGATTCACACTTTCACACATTGGCTCTCATTATGTTTTTCTCCATTTTTTGAAGAACTCTTTCAGCACTTAGTGTTTTCTGCTGCTGTTCTCTTTATTGCTCTTTTTGTTCAACCAGGCAGATGAAGTCTCACAAACCTCTCAACACGTAGGACATTTTCCCCTCCTAGAGCTGCTGGACGTGGTTTCACGCGTGGGCCGTGCTCCTCCCCATCTTGCTCCCCTTCCATCCCCTGAATTACTCCAGGCATCCTGTGACTGGTGGTGACTGTGACTCTTGTGGCTAAGTGTCCTCACATACATACTTCAATTTGGTGCCCTTCTCCAAACCCTTACCAAGGCAAACATGCATTTTTGTAACACCATTATCATGGTTTGGGTTTTTATTAACTTAGAATGCTTCATATGGATAATTTTTTAATGTGTTTTTTAGTTTTTGTAGCCAACAGAATATAAGGAGTTGCTGTGGTCTGTACCAGGCCAACCACCTATGTTAGCTATTTCCAGCTGATGGGAAGGTTCTTCAGAAGGTGCTCTAGTATTTGAAAGAGGAGCAGGAAAGAAACACCCAAACGAAATACCATGGTTATTTGCAGTGAAGCTCAGCTTTCTGTACCTACTTCAGTAGGAGGCCGTGAAGAAATTTGAGGTGCCAGAGCTTCGAAGTCTTGCTGAAGTGCCTTTAAAGCAGCCGGACGTGCACAAAGCCCATGCAAGCGCTGCGGGTCGGTTGCTTTGTCAGGCGCCTATCGGCACAATCTCTCCCGGTTTCCGCACAGCTCCCGCTCGTCCCATTGTTCCTTGTGCAGCGCTCGATGCCGCGGCGCTCCGCAGTGCCCCTTGCCGTGTTTGCACTGCTCCTAAGGTCACCGCCACCTCTGGGTGCCGCAGCGGCAGGTTCTGCATTATAGCAAGGGAGCGGGTTACCGCGCACCTCTGCCGATCTTCAAACTGCGCCTCGATTAGGCAGGAAGAGTTATGCACAGCAGAGGTAAATGAGCCATTTATTTCAGGAGCAGCCAGTAATAAGGTGTCTGGTTACTGATTTACCGTAGAGGTCCTTTGCAGGTGCCACAGAACAAGCAGGTTTTGTGGGTACGCACTTCTGAAAAGGAACAATAAGTATAATACAGTAAGAGCGAAAATATATGAGAGCTGTTAGCATGAAAACTGTTAAGAGAAGGAGTCAAGTTGGATTCCTAGTCCTGGGAAAAAGACAGGAAACCACACACAGCGAAGAGGGACTGCTATACAACCTTCATGACAATAACATGAACATTGGGGAAAAAATGGAGCCAGGTCCGTACAGAACGCACTGTGTGCAATCCTAGGAATATTGTGCCTGATTTTCCTAACCCTAACCTAGAGCACTACGTACCAAACCAAATTTCATTAAAGACACTCAAAAGAATTATTCAGCAGCATAGCTTTTATGGGAACTTCAAACTGGGAAATTAAGCAGAATAGGGCCAGCCTCTCACTACAGATTTACAAAAGCATAAATTTTATTTTTATAGATGATATGAAACATTATTTCCAGAGCTACCTTTATGGAGTATAAAATAGCTTTCACTTCAGATTTCTTTCAAAACATGTATTCATTTATAGAAAGCTACATAAAGAAGTAATCCATCTTGGTAATAAATTGAATGATCTAATAGTAAACATACAAGTAATCTGCAAATATCATATAGTGACGATAAAGTGCTAGCAATCAATGTACCTATCAGCTGCACATACCATTTACTTCTATACCACCTATGTAATTATTTGAATTTTATGACTATTTTGTAATATTAAGCTTTATTCATAAAACTATAATTATTTTAAATAACGTGCTTTATTTTTAAAGCACATGGAGATGTGTAAATAGGAAGTCTATTAGTAGCAAAGGTCAATGGAAATTGTGCAGAGTGTAATCCTATTTTACATGGGAAGAAATCTGTAAGAGCTGTAGAGAGTAAACTGAGATTTAAAATATAAGCAAAAATAAAAAGATCTAAAGAACTGTGTTAGAGATTACATCTTAAGATGTTATTTCAAGATGCTATAGGCACAATAATTAACAAACTAATATGGAATAAGTGAGGGTTTAACGTAATAGGAATAAAAGGAACAGAGGGATTCAAATTAAAATAAAAACAAACCTTTCAGACCTTGGAAATAATTCTGGTTTATTTTCAAGTTCCATGGCAAAATGTGATGATGGATCTAAGGAGGACTTCATATGCAATTTTGTAAACCAGGCCAAAGTAAGAAAAGTAGCACTTATAGCATAGAAAACATGGGAATACTGTTACATAGTTTATTCATGCAGCTTTGAGAATAAATATGTCCTAAGCATTCTGCCAAACAAGCAAGGGCACGTTGCCTTCTCCAAAGAGCTTACATTTAAAGGACTACATTTCAGATACCTTAAGCAGGCAAAATTCAGCTGAAAAGAGAGCAGCTCAGCCCTTCTGGAAACTCACACCCCAAACTCAGTGTCACAATATGTATCAGAAAACAGAGATGGAAGAATAACGAGGATGACAATAATGAAATCACAGTTACTTAATAAGGCCCAGATCCTTACAAAGACTCTTAGCTTTAAACATATCAGTAATCCTATTGAATCGTGCAAATCATGACGGTCCTTTAAATAGTGTTGTGCATGTATCCTCCCCTAAGGATTTGTACCGGGGGACAGGAGATGCAAGTGGTGACAAGGCATTTAAAAACGAGAGATGGAGGAATTCTGTGAAATAAGTCTGACTGGGATGTCCACGTAGAATGAAAAGAACAGGTAAAGCCAGGAATATCCCGAAAGGAAAGCAGGTCTGGAGTTCAAGTTGGAGGAGTGTTGCTGTTGACCTTATTTACCTAGAAAATGAGATGCAGTGAGGTCCAGGAGGGTCGTTAGGCTTGTTAAGACCATGATAAGTTTGCAGCATTTCGAAAATTACTTCATCGACTTTTATGTGGTGCTTGACAATAAAAATGTTCTTACAAGGTCTGCTTGTTATCCTGTCAGTGGCACTTGGAGTACATGATTGCTTCATTAAAATGCTACTGCTTAACAGAGAATAAAAATAAAAGATAGCAATACACAAGTCAAAGGATTTTGGGGGAAATAAGCTGATTTTAAGCACTTACCTTCCTTCAAATGGCAAGCACTACAGAGTTCACTTTCAGAAAATCTTATTATTGATACTCTTCTGGTTTTTAATCACACTTCAGAATCAGTGTGTACTCAGGATTTAAGTTGTTGTAGAAGTTAGAGTCTGGATCTCTGTGAGAATTCGGATAACTTAATAACAGAAGGAAGGGTCTGGTAGCATGGGGCAGAAAGGCGCACCTCCTCTTCCTTGGCGCTTTTCTCAGCCTTGCTTAGAGATACTTGCCTATGTTTTCTAGGCCGGCACCTTTTACCAGGAATGACTGTAAATTTACTAGGGATGCCGCAGTCAAACACAGAGAAAGTCATAAATATAAGTTATCCTCTAAATCACAGCAGAACAGTATTCCACCTACACAATCTCTGCATTACCTTAGCCCCATAAAAAATCATCTTGCTTTTGATGAGCTAAGGATACGTCACCAAAACCTTGCTGGTAAACAGCAGACTAAAGCAGAACAGCGAATATCAAAACTTTCTCTTGAAACAGATGACTGCAGGCAGCTCGTTCTGACATTACGCTTACAGCACGCCGCCTTTGAGCCCGGCTTACAGGCTGTTTGCACTCCCGCACGTATACGTACGTACGTACCTACATACCCACCTCCTTCCCGAGCAGGCCGCCGCTAAGCGGCTGGGAAGGAGCCGATTGCCTCTAATCAGCTTAGTGGGGGAAGCTCACAAAACTAAATACAGATGGAACCCCCCTCGCCCCCCCGCGCGCACACCATGCGCCCCGATTTGCAGTGAGGAGGCATCTCTTCCTGTTAATTTCGGTAAGGGGGACTGAACACCTTAGCAAATGCAAAGCAACGGGACGCCGCACAAGCCTCACAAAGGCTTTGGCAGCCACGCGGTCGTATGGGGTAATGTTTTATACCACTGTTTGTGGAAACTCAAGTAAAAGTACCAACTGCAACAAGAGCCTGTGTGTGAGTAGAGGGGCCAAGCTTTAGCCCACATTTTGCTGACAGGCCCTTTTCAAGCTGCAGGCTTTAAGAGAACCACGTGTGGCAGGAGTCACCTCAGCCGAGTTCACGTGTCCCCAGCAGCGACACCTCTCTGGGCGAGCTGCCGCTGTAGTTCATGTGCACAAGCAGGCGCTGGAGGCTCTGCTCACTCGTATTTCCTGCTAAATTCAACACAAATTTGCGGTTGCTCGGTTCGTGGTAGAGAAAAGCACAAGCCCAACTGTGAGCAGGCAGTTCTTGGCCTGGGGGTAGGCAGCTTCGCTCCTGAGCAGGAGTAAACGCTGGCAGGAGCGGATGTGCTTGGCAAAACCGCGCTAGAAAAAAAAAAGCAGGGAAGAGGCAGGCCTACCTCCGGTCTGAGGCAGCCGCCGGCATGGGAGGCAAGAGCTGGTGCCGTTGCCCTACTTCGCAGCTGGGTGCATTAGGGTAAACCATTAAATAACTGGCAGTCAGGTTACCGTATAGCACCATGAACTGGCTGGTGGGGGCATGAAAACGAAAACTCAGGCTGTTCCGCTTGCCCCTGGGGCCAGGGAGGAGGGCTGTCCCCAGCCCCGTCATAATGCAAGGGGTGTTTCTCCTTACCCTGGGCTGCGAAAACTATAACTTTGATCTGCAACACTCTGTACAGTCAAGGCAGGAAGAGAAGTTGCAATAATCCAAGGAAGTACAGCCTAATTGATAACCCCCAGGGATACAGCCTGTTTGCTAAGGGACTCCAAAGGGGTCTTCATGTGGTCTGCTAATGTCCAACAGCTGTGATACTTAATTACCTGCACTCATCTTTTAAATGGAGAAGGTGGACACTAATCCTTCCCGAAGGCAAAATGGGAGAACAGTATTTATTAGCTGAGACAGATGGGATGTAAAGAGCTTGAAGCAGTAAAGGAGTATGAATCAAGAAAGAGTAATTGTTAAGTGATTGACGTAGAGGGGAAGAGCTTTGAATGAATAGAATGCAGAACAACAAATATCCAAACTAATCCAAGGTTTTCACTGGAACAGGTCTTCTTTTAATGGCCCGTTTCCAAAATTTCCTTTGTAAAACCACAATGAAGAGTTGTAAGGAGCTCTATTAGGCTGGTCTCTGAGTTGTGCCCACCTTCTCCCCTATAATCCCTCCCCTCTGTCTCTCCGAATTTCTACTTTGACCTTGTTTGCCGATTTCATGGCATAAGCACAAGTGAGGTGGACAGCTAGAGCAGGCACTAGTCACTGCACCCCTTGGGGCGAAGAAGGGAATGGAGCTGCACATCACATCTGCCCTCGCTTTATAACCCCTTAATTCATGGGAGCTATGGGAACAGACAGCATAGAAACAATGGAAGTATTTTCACAGAAAACAAACAAACAAACAAAAAACCAAACAACTATTTGCGTTTGAAAAAAAGGGTATGTTTTCCATATAGCAGAAGTGTTAGGGAAGCAAAATCCTTGGAGTTTTCTATGCAGGATGCATCACAAATTTGACTTCACGATTAATCTGTCAGTCTACATCTCCAAAATATTTTAGTTGCCCTTAAAAAGAATCATTAATCCAATGCCTACAAATATGATTGCTAGGTCTTAACTCTGCCAAAATTAGAAAAATGTCTGTGCTTACACTTAAGGAAAAACATAGCAAGATCCATTAAAAACCATTATGGAGTAAAACATTATTTCAGAAGAATTGCAGCTGTATTAAACACTATAGCTTAAATTTTTCCCTGTTATAAAAAGATGATAACAACAGTATGGTTGTATCAGCTGTTAGCTCTTTTCTGTTCTGCCTTTGTCAGATGCTTGTGAGTATTTAAATAGCTAATCGTTTGTTACCGTTAAATGTTGCCCAACGTTAATAATCAGACCATGTTTATCACCGAAAGACTTTTTGCTGACCTTGAAATCCTCACCTTCCTTGTGCTGAACTGACAGCCACAGAGCTGGGACAAATAAAGGAAAATAGAAAACAGGTTAAGACTGCTCTGCGGTGAATAGGCCCTGGTGAGGCACAGTCGGTTTTCCAGTAGTCCCATGAAGTCACTGTAATGCAAGTCCCATGCCAGGACGAGGACTGAAACCGCCAGAAGAGGCATTTAGGGCGGTGATGTGGATCTACCATTCAGGGGACAGGTTAAAAGGAGAAATACTGTGGAGCAGCGGCCTCAGGGAGCACGCGGGAGCGGTGCCACATGGAGCTGCAAGGAGGAGCTCACCTGGGGGCGCCCAAAGCTGAGCTCAAGGGGGCTGGGAGCAGGAGAGAGTTTCTCAGGAGGCACAACCCAACCCAGTTTGGTTTATCCGAGTTACCCTGTGGAGTATCTGAATACAGCCATGGTTATGTCTATGCTAGGATTCTCCGGGAGATTTCCCACCACTGCTGTGCTGTGGGTGTTGGCCATTCCCATGGTGAAAACCTCAGCAGAGATAGATAGGCCAACTTCCTTCTAAACAGCCTCCCATCTCCTTTTATAGAGGGCACAGCATGGCAATGCATGACTTGTCTGTGTAGCTGCCTTCAGCTGTGCTCCCTGTCACATCTGAAAGCTTTCTAAAATTACAGAGAAGATTTTTATTGTCATAAGGGAAGGTGGCCAGCATTTGGCTAGCGAGGATTAGGACAAGGGAGCCTATATTATCCATGTAGAAACAGAGATGTCCAAGATGCGCATTATTCCCCTCTCTGCTACAAGAGAAGCAACTGCCTCATGATGGATCATGCTGGGCCATGCTGATCCCAACTGCCCAACTTTGAGAAACCTTCTGATCACCACTGCACACAACTTCAGTCTTCACCTCCCACTTCTCTTTATCTCCCTGGCAAAGCACCTCTGGGCAAGTGTAACTTCTACAAAAAATAGTTGTGGCACTGTTTTATTATTATTATTGCCTTTTGGTGTGCTTTTATCAGGGAAAGTATTTTTTTCTGGCCTACTGGTTTAGCTTATAGTATTTCCCAGCTCCTGTTGACTGCATAGTCTGTCTTGCCACTGACTCCAAAATCCCGTGTTCATAATCTATCTGCCCCGTCTCTCTCCACACACAAATATGAAAAAGTATTTTATAACTACTTATATCAAAATATTTTACTCCATATTTTTAAATACACTGCCTCATTCTTGTCAGCTAACTTTTCCATCTACTGTTCTCTCTGCACCTAGAAAACTAGGAAGATATTCCTTCCAAGTAGCAGAATCCATGAAGAAATAATCCTTCCACAGAAATCGCCACCACTAGACTTACGGAGTGAGTGGGACTAGAGAAGGCTGCAGCTCCTAGAAAATGACTTCTCCTTCCCTAGAGGAAATTGTACTGAAGATTATTCTCACACCTACAGATTGTCTTTTTTTTCGTAGAGCTTCAGTGTCCCCATAAGCAAGAAAAAATACCAAAAGTGTGGAAAAGAGTTTCATAATAGGAAAAGAAAAATGTATGTGGGATCAATCTGCCTCTCGCTAGTCTCCTGCTCCTGACCACATGTGCCTGGTGCCAATGCCCTTGGCTCTCCCATGTGACTCTTACAGAAGTCAAAGCTAGACAGGCACCAGGATGCAGCGGGAGATGGGGCGCTGCAGCTTGGTGCCTCAGGTTTGACCTCAAATACTCGAGCAGCACTCAGAGATACTGTGCTGTGCCCCCTCCTGGCATACTGTGATGGCACTGCATGGTCCCCATGGCTTTCCCTAAACACCACCTGTCTGAGTGCAGCCTCATTCTCTTGCTGCACTCTGAAAACCAAGGTTGAGACTGGAAGGTTAATGGAGGGGGAACCCCTGCCCACCTCCCTGCAACCTTTTCTCCCCTTGCCACTGAGAAAAGGTGGGAGAGCAAGGGCTCTTCCTGCAGGGCAGAGGTGTTGCCTCAGGACTTGTGGGTCCAAGACTGGAAGGGGAGAGCCCACAAGTCCTGAGGCAACGCTTCCCACCTGTCTGGAGGGTGGCAAGGGCAAAGCAGGAGAAGCCAGGGCAGGATGGCGTAGGGGTGACACCACGCAGCCCCAGCCGGCTTCCGAAACCGGCGCCAAACTTTTTGGCAACCCTTTTGCCAACTCTCCAGAAACTCCGAGTGCTGTTTCCACCGGGGGCACCTCCACCGCCCCCTCCAGGGGCAGGAAAGCCTTTCCCGAGGGGAGCAGACACAGCGCGGGCCGGAGAGCGGCCGCGGGACGCGGCGGCAGCAGGGCCAGGAGGAGGAGGAGGCACGGGGGGGGGAG